CTTTGTGTTTAAATTCCGGTTAATTAGTGGATGACATTTTTTTTGTTTTCATGGGCTAAATTTTGATGCAAAGATATAAAACATCATTTGATTTTTTTGAATTGTCAGCTATTGCAATCTTGAATATTGTATTTTTTGGAGGGATAACGACAAATGTGGTTAATTGGTTTTTTAAAGAAAAAATTACTTCCAGTGATAACATTTTTCGAAGTTCTTTAGTGCGTGAACAAAAGCAACTGTTTTTTTTCAATTAACAGAATTTTTTAGTTTTGCTGTTTAAATTGACCCAATTTGGATTATAATTTGTTGAAAAAACACTAAAGGCCTAAAATATGCATTTTTTCTTAGACCCGATTTTTTTGCTAGCTTTGTATTCTTTAAATTATCAGAACTTGAAATAGAAAGCAAGCTGCTCTATTTTGACATGCTTGTTAAACTCTGTCCGACAATTTATTTCCCAATTTCATTTGTGCGCTTAATCTTAGACGGACGCCTTCAAGGAAAAGACAACTGAAATCCAATCATCATAGATTTAAAATAACACGGCATTTAAAAGGACCGTGAAATTGAAATGTTAGATCTAAAAGTGATGCCCTTATTATCTATTCAAGTATTGTTTGTAGGTAAATAGCGAGGATGATTTTCAGCTAAGAAATTATAGTTACAGAAGGACTTTGTCCTGTAAACAATTTTTTGTCCTGTAAACTATTGGACTAGTTTGATGTACAGTTCCCGGGTTGACCCCCATGCAACAAAAATCCTTATCATACAATTCCATACATCAAGTGTATAGAGAAAATGTTTGTCAAACAATTTTCTTACATTTTCGAAAAACGATAGAAAATAAAAACTAAACTTTTTCTGCGGCTTGAGAACAGTTGAACAGGCTGGTAATGAAAAAAAAACTGACTTAAATTTTTTTCAAAAACAACTTGCCATACAATTTTCATATATGAAAATTGTATGACAAGCATTTACGCCATCAGGGAAATTTTTTCAAAGTTTTTTGCAAACCAATTTTTGAAAACTTCAAATTGAATTGGTAGCAACTTTTTTCAAAGGATGAGAACAAAATGCGAAAACAAATCGTTCAAATCCAAGTAAAGGAGAAGCTATCAAGAACGAAAAACTAGAAATTTCGTTTAATTTTTTTCTCTTGAAAATGCTTTGATTCAAGTAACCTTTTCTGGAATTTGTCACCCTTAAGCGTTGTTAGGGATTAAAGATAAGTAATAAAGCCTTATAATCATGTAATTTAGTTATGTGATTACCGAACTGCAGGAGGTTTGCCGGAGATAGTTCACGCAGATATAAAGGTTTTTTAAAAAAAAAAAGTTTTTTTTTAAATTTTTTTTGGAGGCAACCCTTTCTACAGTGTTTGAGGTAACCCCCTCTGCAGAAAATTAAGAAACTCAAGTTGCAACTTCTAAAACAAAACTTTTTTCTCAGGTTTTCTTCTCTGTTTAGAGATTGCACGGCTTATTAGATGGGCATTAATGCAATTTAGCCTTATTTGAAAAAAAAGTTTTCCGAAAACTGTTTGTCATACAATTTTCATAAAATTTAAAAGTTTTAGTCATACAATTTTTATTTATGGCAAAATGTTAGTCAAATAATTTCCATTTATGGGAAAAAATTTATTATTATAGAGATTTCATACAATTTTTTGTACGTATGGAATTGTATGGAATTGTATGACAAGAAATTTTCCATTTATGAGAATTGTATCAGAAGCATTTTGGGTCAACCCGGGTTCTTACAATCAGAGAAAATGAAATTTTCTCAAATCTGTGAGGTATTGAAGTAAAAATGTATAAATTTTTTTAGTTATTCTTTATTCTTTTTGTTGCAAGAAAATCGACGTCACATGAAGTTGTTTTGTTTATTTATAAATCACACCCCTTGTTATTTTTCTTCTCGCGTGAAAGTAAAAATATCGAACTTTTGTTAACACTTTTTTGAATTTGGTTTATTTATTGATGCAAACAAACGCATTTTGCAAAAAAAAAATCTGACTTAATGCTCAAATAATGGCAGGATAGATATTGGCACGGCAATATGTATAAGTTCGTACGATCATAAAAAAACTTTCCCTAACATAAAATTTTTTTTTCTCGTACCCACCCAAAGTTTTTATTTCTTATCATTTGGCAGTTCAAAAAGCTATAAAAAACGAATTCATCAAAAATAACTAAGCATTCTTTTAAGCTCTTAAAAAGTATGAAAATCGGGTCACGTTTTTGGTGACAATTTTAAGAGTTTACAAAATACAAGGACAAATTACAATTTAAGGACAAACTCAAAGATTAAGGACAAAATCGAAGTTTTCATTTAACAGTTTTCTTCTACCTGCTCTCATAGAATTACTGCAACTCTCCGCTGAAATTGATATTCACTTCTGGATCTATACCTGGGCTCCTGAAGATCAATATTAGTTCATCTCTGGTCACAGCAGTACACCATAGTAATGCTTGGCCAATACTATATATTGTATTACACTTTACTTAGCTGCAATTTATCTCATGTATTGTATTAAGATGGTATGGTATACTGGTGGGTTCAAAGAGCTGTCTAGCAGTGAAAATTAGGGGGAAAAGGGAGAGAGAGGGAGAGAGGGGTATGGGGGTACAGGGACAGGTTTGGGGGACACAAAATCAACAATGCTGTCAAGTGCAGATGACACGCAGAGGGAGAGTGGGAGAGAGGGAGAGAGTCGGGATTGGTATCTCGCTATGCATTATAGAAGTAGAAGTAGACCTTGCAATATGTACATTAATTATACATTAGGCACAGATTGGAGAAAAATAAGTATATCCTACAAATAAGAAAAAAAAGGAACAGAAAAAAAGAAAATTTTTCGTAGGCTGAGTTATTTCATATGTTTTCCGGATTTATCGAAACTTGACTCACTATATGAACCCGTTAAGACAAACAAAAAACGGTGAGGACGAGGAAAAATGGTTGCTTTGCAAGTAGCACATTAAAAAACTGGACCGTAGTATTTATCTTAGCAAAAAAGATAAAAGACAAAACTTTTTGTTCCGACATTCGTCAGGAAAGTAACGGAATATTTGTG